TTTGGAAGGAGTGTATGTAAACTTTGAGGCCTGTGGTTGAAATGAATTCTTAGGCTTCCTTGTATGCCACCTTGTATGTTAGAGCACTTGAACTATGTCATGCCCAGAACCTCTGGAGGAAATAATACCTTCTAGAGAGGCTCCTCCTGTTGGGGGGAGAACACTAAAGATGGCAATCTTTTTATTCCTCGGTAGCTGTCCAGGTGAATGCCCTCTTTCTAGGAGACATCGGGGGGTTTTGTTGTTTTGTACAGCTGCTTCATGCCCCATAGATGACATTTGAAGCTCGCTCTGTCTCTGCACATCCCAAAGCGTTGGGCATTTCCCAAGTCATGTCCCCACATGATCAGTTCTTGCTCACTCTGCCCCTCAGTGTTTGTGTCCCCGCTCCCTGAGTGATGCCTGTTTTAGAGAGGGGGCTCTGTCGCTGTGCGTTTGCCTGTGATAACATGTATTTACATCGAAGGAACCCCAAGTAGTTACTGAGGTTGCTCTGCGTTACCATTCTGACCTTATAATTCACAGCTTCATCAGTGTTATCATTTGTGAATTGTATTGGTATTGACTTTTCAGTTCAAAGCCAGATCCGTAAAATATCAAGGTAAAATATCAAGGATCACTGGGCTTAGAGCTCAAACACTAGAAAAGACTGCAAGAATTCAGCTTCAATACCCCAAATTCCTTTTGAGCACTCAGACACTTTTCACTCAACCTCATTAATACTTATTTTAACTCTGTACGGCGTTTGTCATCTTTCAGTTAAAAATCTGCTTCACTAGCTCAGATGACGAGTGTTAGATTTGATCTATTTGTGTGCTAATAACAAATATACAGATGCAGTTACAAAACTGAGTTGATTTCATGTTTAGAGGAAAGTATTTGAACAGACTTTCTTCAGCCATTCCTATACATTAGTTTTGTCTTGGTTGGCTCCATTATTTCTGGTGCTGTCAGAGAAGGATTTATTGATGATGGTTTATTCCCTTAGGTCACATCAGGAAGTGTTGGGGATTCTGAGCAAGAAGATCCTGCACCTCCTTGTACTAATTCCCGTCATAAATATGGTAAGTGCAAATACTTTGACTAGAGGCATGATGAATATACCAAATAGTATATGTTGCTGTGAAGTGCTGACATGTTGTTAAAATTCCCAACTCTACGGTGTGCAGCTGTCTCTTGGATATGTGAAGGGACAGCTCATGGAGTTTGTGCAGTCATCCCTAAGGAACAGCAGGGGCTGGGATTGCATGGCTGCAGAAGTAATGGTGCAGTAATTTGTTGGTGTGCTAAGGTTGGCATCTCCAAACTTAGCAGTGTAAAACCTCTCCACTTAAAATTACCTTTTTTTTGTAAAGACTTCCCAGACTTACATAGCTTAAACCTATGAATGTTACCTACCCTTTAAACCAAACAGTTTTGGTCAGGAGCCTGTCCAGTGTAGGAATTAATTAAAATCTTTATCTATTTTAAAATTTTTTAAAGATACTATTGTGATATGTTTGAGCAAGATGACTCTCTTAGGAAAATTGAAACGCAGAGGTACTTTGATCAGTCACAGTAATATGTACCTTTTGTTTGTGTTCTTTTCTTTGTAAAAACTTTGAATGGGGAAAAAAATCCCCTATTTCAGAAGATAAAGGAAATGTTTCGCAAGGTGAAGATTCTCAACAGAGGGAAGCACCTAGTGAAGACGGGTCTGCCCAGAGACCAACAAAGGGCAGATCAAGGAAGACAAAAGTACATTGTGCTTCAGCAAAGCAGCGTGAAAATCATTTGAATTCAAAAGAATTGCAAAGTCTGGGAGAAAAGAGTACCCAAGAGGAGATGGAAGAGATCAGTACTTCAGTAGCTAAAAGAAGAGGAAGAGTAAGGAAAGCAAACCTTTGCATACAAGAGGAAATGGTTTTACAGCATCCTCATCAGGAAGAAGTGGAAACTGATTCATTTGTGGGAGGGCATGGAGCTCCTCAAAGAGCAAGAAGAGGTAAAAGGAAAAATCCTACTGAGTTAAAGCATCCAAGTGAGAATCTTGAATCTTGTGGCAAGGATTCTTCAGTGGTAGGAAAACAACGTGCAAATAGAAAACAGACTTTGCAGGAGTGTGGCATCAATGGCATATTAGAGACTGAAGATGATCTAACCATATCTAGTAGCATTCAAAAAGAAAATTGCCAGCTGCAAACAGGATTAAAAAAGCCTGAAAACAAACCTGAGCAAGGTGGTGTAGACGTCAGAGGGGAAATGCTTCATTTCTTTAATAAGATACCTGCTGCAGGCAGTGACAGTCCTGCTCTTAACCATCGACAGCGGGCAAGAAATGAACAGGGCATGCTTAAACCAAAGCAGACTGACATCCCGCAAGAGAATCCAGCACAGAAAAATGGAACAAGATGTAGAAGACTTAAAGGTAGAAACGTTAATTTTGACCTTGAAGAAGGCAGCTTCAAGGTAGGTGGAGGAAATATGGTTTTACCTGAGTGTGACAAAGGAATGACTTGCAAAGACGGTCAGTGTGAGACTTCAGAAAATCCTTCTTTGCAAGTTAGGAGGAGCAGGAGAAGGCAAGTTGAATCCATTCTACAAGTACCTTGTGTTCCCTCTGTGGAGAACCAAAGACTAATTGCAGGTGATATCAAAGATGAGGCTTCCCTAAAAGAGCAAGATTCAGGTTTGGCTGCTACTCCCTCTTCAACCCAAGAGAATCCACCGAGACGAGGGAAAAGACGAGAGGTTGCTGCAGCATCACCAACACCTAGATCTCCTCCTGTCAGAAGACGTGGGTTGCCAAAAGGTGATGATAAAAAGATGAGTGTGAGAGAACAGGAAAATCCAGCTTTGGGAAAGAAAATTTTGCCGGCAAAAACAAATGCATCAGCGAGGGGCGCAAAGAAAAGGATTGATCTAGGAGGAGAGGTAGAAACTGGTAATATAGAGGAGGGTACTAATGAAGAACAAAATATGTCTTTGGAAACAGTGTCCTCTGGAAAAGAGAAGCCATTAGGAAGGGGCAGAAAGACAGGAACTGCTCTGGCATCCCACACAACTAATGCCATTTCTCTTAGAGGAAAACGCCGTTTGCCAGCAGATACTGGTAGAGAAGCAGCTCCTAAAGAATATCGAAAGGTTCCATTACAAACTTTTGATTCACCTGTGAAAGAAGATAAGCTGAGAAGAGGCAGACGGATAGGAATTGCCCTCTTGCTAGAAGGCACAAATTCTGTTCAGGGCAAGCAGGGCTTACCAAAACGAAGTACTAGAAATAAGCTGATTTTGGCCAGTCAAGAAACCCCTGAAGAACAACAAAATGGACTTTTGGCAGTAGCTCCACTGGCAAAAGGAAATCCATCAGGAGTGGTCAGAAAGAAAAGAATTCCTTCCAGATGTGAAGAAACTACTTCCCCTTTTCTCAGGAAAGATCCTGCCTCGCCCAGAGATCAATGTCAAAAGAGGATTAAGACACAAGAAGTTGCCCCTGAACAACAGGCAACTGCCTCTTCTCTCAGAAGAAAACGTCAGTTGCCAGCAGATGACTTGGCATCCAAAAAACTAAGATCAGGTAAGGCAAGAGTTGGCTTTCTAAATAGAGCTAAGTTATTGGTGGCTGTAACAATACTGTGTACAAAATTCTGGTATTAGTGTGGGCTGCCAGGCTCTAATGTAGATAGAGAGTCGGGCTGCAGTATAGCGAGCAGACTTCAGTGCATCGGGTCTGTGTTACCTTATAGAAACCAGATGGTTTTCCGAAGTCGAAGGGATTGGTTTTATGGGGTAGGACA